CGCTAACAGCCGATTTTTAAGCCAGACATTCACCGCGAAAATGGAGTCACGCCAACTACCTGCCACATTAACAATTAGCAATGGTCAATGTAAAAATATTATCAATTTATGTCATGAGTTACATTGCAGGTATTTTTCTGTCTAATAAGTTAATATAAATTGTAAGTAAAGTAACACTTTTAGTAAAAAACAATGTTAAATTCAAGTTAACTATACTTGCTGTATTTCTATTCTTAAATGAATTTTCTTTAGAAGAAATGTCTCATGCTTCTAATTATTGGTCGAAGATGCAAAGTTTTATGTACAAGTAAATATATAATAATACTAGGGGGGCTCCGCCCCCTAAATATTATATACAAAGCTTATGTGCTGTTTAAAACATCTAAATTGCCCTCAATTATTTTATCCAAATCCATTGTTTGTGCATCAAGTAATTTTATGTTCTCATCGTTTGTTATGATTAACACATAAGAAGAATCTGGAAATAAGGATGTTATAAGTTTTTTTTGCATACTTTTTTTTTTGTAATAATTTGTATTGTAATACCTTTTATTTCCAAATCTCCTGTGACCTCGATATGACATTCTCTATCAAAAGCTGGAATATTGTTGTTTGTCGACTTAAATAAAATGTCTAGTTTATAAATACCATTTGTCAAACTTGAGATGAATTCATATTCTTTATTAATGGAATTCTATACAAAGCAGGATCTTAAGTAACCTTCGATTACTGAAATGGAAAAAAAATTTGATTAATAGTTTAAAATTTAACAAAGTGGTGTTTTTTAACAATAATTAGGAATGTAACAATAATAATAAAACAATAAAATAATGTTACCTATAGTAGTTGGTCGTATCGGCAAATCATGGAATTTAATTTTTTTTGGTACAATATTTTTTTTATTAAATTCTCCTAAATTTTCGATGGTGGTATTAAATTTAATTAAAAATTCAAATGGTGAATTCCCTAAAGTGTAATTTTTTTTGCTTGTTATGTGGATGTTCTGAAGTAAGTAAATCTGTAAGTATAACTAGTTTAAATCTTTGTGTTAAATACAAAATTTTTATTATTTGAAAAATTACCTTATTTAAACCAATTTTATTCTTAAATTTGTCAATAAATTCATTATGAACTGTGCACTGAATTTTCATACCGGCGTTGTTGTTTAATATAAATTTCCAAACAGAAAATGTCTTGCCTGTTTCTTTATTTACATGACTTTCTGTTTCCAAAATTTCATCTATATAAGCTTTAACAATTCTGGAAAAAATGAAAAATGTTATGTATGAATATTATGCTTGTGTTACAACTAATGATGATTATAAAAATTGTATGCTTCGGAATAGTATTCATGGTAGCGATATTGAAATACAAAGTTTCGCTGAACTTTACCAAACAAATATCATCATTTATGAGAATAATGTAGTGAAAAGTCAATATGGAAATAATTTTAATGATAAAAAATTATCGTTAATATATTCTGGAAAAGATGATGGAACTGGTCATTTCGATATTTTGGATTATGAAAACAATCAAATTAATAATAATTTGAACAATACCTCGGTTAGATGTCAAAGATATAATTCTTTATCAAATAAAATTAAAAATTATATTTCAACAGAAGTTGAAACGCCACAATTATCTAAAGCAACATTGAAAAGAAAAAATAAAGATTTCCATGAAAAGATTAACATTAAACCACAAAAATATACAAAAAAAGATTTATTACAGAAAGAGTCGAACAATAACAGACTTAAACACGATACACCACAGAATAAAAAAATGCCAAAAAAAAGGAAATGTGTAGATTCTTCTTATGTTATTAAAAATAAAAAAAGCAAAACGAACAAGGCAAATTTAATCCCAAAAAATATTTCAACAAAATCTTATTATGGCCCCATGACATGGAAATGTCCATATTGTTCAGCGTATTTTTGAAAAGAAGAAAGTAAAAAAATATGTTGCAAAAACGGAAATATTGTATTACCACCTTTATCAGAATATAATGAAGAACTGAAAAATTTTTTAGTGTAAGACAGTATTGTGATGCTATTTTACAATTTTTATTGCATACTCTCCAGTACACATTATACAATTTGTTCTTAACAAAATCTGTACAAGATTTTGGTTGTATATGATTGTCTTTTTTGTTATAAAATAAAACCTCGATTGGTTTACAATATTTTCTGACTTTGTCATCCGGACACATTATAATAGCAAATTTTATTTCACTTTCAGTATCCATACTTTTTAACTACTGGGATATTTGTTAATAATAAAACTTAATAAAATATTGAAATCCGCAGGAGTATTCGCATGTGAACGTATTATAGATATCCTGTACGTCAAGTGAACATTGGTGTGTTCTTCACCCTTTACATCTCTATCTCTTTCTTCGCGAATATTCGCGCTTTTTCTAAGACAACACGAGTGTAGTCTGCACAAAGCATATAGACCACCTGTATGGACATATCGACCGTTTGTATTGAATAGTGTTCGTTAAAAATCTATTTCAAAGTTGCTAGGTTTTGATTGGCCACTCGCGCACTGTTTCAACAAAACACTGGAGACGATTGGCGATCGCAAAATTGTCGAGATCCATCTCCATTAAACCTCTCAAAGCACCTAAATTATTATCTGACGGCGTGAAAGGATCAAGCGAGGAACTAAAAATTCATCGGCCATAATAAAATAATTGTAAAAAAAAAAACAAAAAACTTATAAAAAATATTTTGCGATGTTGCGATGAAAGTTTTACCGTCGAGTCTGCAGCTCATCACGGCATTGCATTGCAGCTCGACGAGACGTTGACTTTTCGCAAAGATTCGCATAGATCGTCGCGTTACGTTTATTGAATTCTCGACCAATCAAATCGCACTGCCTGCGTCATGATTGGTCAAGACATGGGAAATTCTGCGGAAATGCTCACTCTCTACTGCTCTGAGCTGCTTACCTTGATCGTCGCTTCACCGATTGATTCTCTGCAGCACTTCGTCACAAACCTCCAACTACGGAAGCCCGTAGGTGCCACACTCTCCGCGCGCGCGAGACGGCGCTATAATTCGCCACGCTCGTCCACCCTATGCGTGCGATAACCTTAACATTTCTTTTCACTTGGATCTCTATAAAAGAACTAAAGTTCTTATACGGTTGCTTTACTTTGTAGTGTTAAAAATATAAAAAATCTAGATTGAAGAGAGAGAATCTAGATCGAGAGATTGAAGTACGAAACAAAACCTCTGCCCATTTTTTTAATATTGAAAATAATAAAATAAGTTTATCGACTCTGAAAACGTACTATCCCGGAATCTGTGGACTAACCTAAAAAAAAAAATGAAAAATCATGCTTTGCAGTCCTCGCAAATTTTGAATCAAATTCCAGTACAATGGAACCAAAACCATTAACAGATAAATCAAAAGAAAATAGTCATCCTTCAAGTTTATTAGATAAGTTGCCTTCATGCAGTTGATTATTGAAACAGCCCACCCACATAGCATGAAAGCTTCCCGTGAAATCTTTCAAGAAAGCTTCCCATGAAAGATTCCAGAAAGTTTTCAGAAAGTTTTTTTTTTAGCTTCCCAGAAGCATACTGGAAAAGCTTTTATGAAATCTTTTCGGAAGTTTCCTGAAAGGTTGCAATAAAGATTTCATAAAATGTTTTTTTGAAGGTTTCATTAAAACGTTCGGGAAGCTTCCCTAATCCTTCTAGGTATGCTTCCATGAAACCATTCTAGAAGTATCAATAAAAGCTTGAAGGAAGCTTTACGGAAATTTACGAAAAAATTTCAGGGTGCTTTCCAGAAAGTTTTCATGGAATCTTTCTAAAAGTTTCCTGAGAGGTTACAAAAAATGTTTCTCAAATTACTTTTTTGAAAGTTTCATTTAAAATTTCAGGAAGCTTCCCTAATTTTTCCAGGGATGCTTCTATGAAACTATTCTAGAAGATTCAATAAAAGCTTGAAGAAAGCTTTTCAGACACTTTTAAGGAACTTTCAGAAGACTTTCCAGAAATATTCCATGGAAGCTTCTTGAAAGTTTTCTGAAAGATTGCGAGAATGGTTTCATGGAGTCATAAGTAAACGTTTCATCGAAGCTTTCAGGAAACTTTCTTAGAAGTTTCTATGAAAGTTTCCTGAAAGGTTATTTCGAAAGTTTCAGTGAAACTTTCGAAAAGCTTCCTACATACTTTCGAACAAGTTTTTAGGTTCATGAATCGCCAACAGGTGGCGTATACATAAATTTATCGAACTCCCAAGTGGGTAACAGGAAATTTTTATACAAGTACTAGCTCCTTGACTGCGAATTTTTAACTTTCGAAGTCTTCATGAAGATTTTTCAAAGTTCTTTTGACGAATACTCAGTTATTCGAGGAGGTGTTCATCTCCGAACTTTAAGATAAATTAATTTTCTCATTTTTTTTAAATTACGATGAGCTTATCATGTAAACAATCACATGACTTTGCAGTGAGTTTACCCAAATAAGTGTCTGTAACCTTGCCAAGAAAGATTTATAAATACATTTTGAGGACCTTTCCAACGACTTTCAAGAAAGGTCTCTGGAAGTTTTCATGAAATCACTGAAGAATCTTTCATGAAAGTTTTCTGAAACTATTTTGTCGCGGACATTTTCAGCTTTCCGAAAGCTTCCTGTGGAAGCTTCCAAAAAACTTACGAGAATTCGTTCAGGAAACTTTCAAAAAAGCTCTCTGGAAGTTTCCATGACATCTCTCAGGAAACTTTCAAGTAAGTTTTCTGAGACTATTTTGTCGCGGACATTTTAAACTTCTTGAAAGTTTCCATGAACGCTTCCTGGAAGATTACCAAACTTTCTTGGAAGCTTCCGAAATGCTTTCAACAAACTTTCATGCTATGTGGGCAGTAATAACAATTTCTAGTTCATCGTTCCAACATCAAAAGATTTCACAGACTTTGCCAAACCAAGCCCACCAAAAAAAAGACTATTGAGAAACCACAAGCTGCTAGAGGAATGAAAGTAAAAATGGCTGTCGAAGTGAATATTGAAGATTTACAATTTACAGAAAAAATCTTGGGAAAAGGAGCCTTTGGCGAAGTTCGAAAAGCTTATTGGTCCGATAGTGAAGTAGCTGTGAAAAGTATTGGTTTGATTCAAGAAAAACCAAAAAACATTATAAGAGAGTTAGCTGTTTTAAGAAAAGTGACGCATAAAAACATTGTTCATATAATGGGATACGCTATTGAAAATTCACATTTCCACATTATTATGGATTTAATAAAAGGATACACTTTGAAAGATCTTATTTTCAAAGCAAGCATTCAAGAAAAGATGCCCTTAGAAGTTTCAGATAAACTTAAAATGACATACCGAATGTTACTTGTTATAACTTTTTTTACATAGGTTGCCTGAAAAGATTATTCATCGGGACATAAACCCAGCTAATGTGATGGTTACCACAGAAAAATTTGTGAAGATATGTGATTTAGGAGTATCAAAAATAAGTGAATTAAATACCGAATTGCAGACAACACAAGAAAAAACCAAATGTGCTGGTACTCCACTCAACATGGCTCCAGAAATTTTTCTCCACCATCAAAGCACAAAAAACTAACAACGAATGCAAAATTATTCAAACATTTAATTGATGAGCTAAATGATCTCCAAGAAACAGGAGTCATTATTAACGTCAATAATTGTTTATGTAGAGTAAAATTTCAGCTCGTGTTAATTCTTGGTGATAATTAAGGCCTCAATGAGATTTTCGGATTTGTTGAGTCGTTTATAACTGACTTTTGTTGTCGTGTATGTGAAGCGGATAAAGAATCCATAGCTTCTCTCTCTTGAGAAAAAAAACTCTTCTGAGCACAGTAAGAAGGGAAAACACCCATACTCAATTGCACTTGGGGTTAGGCGATCTAACGTTTGCTGATTTAACCAGGTGCCAACGACGACTTATGCGGGAGCTGGACTTTATGCTCTTCCGTACTCATCATCGCATTAACATTCGTAACATTTCATATGACGAATTGATCGCTCATCGATAAACATCATTCGATGTTTATTTACATCTAATCTATTCTACAAAAAAGTTAATTTCATTAAACTTACATAATTGTTTTTCAAACTTTTAATTTCATTTCCATGTTCCCATATTTCATGCACCGGAGCGACTCCATTTTCGCGGTAATTTTATGGGTTAAAAATCGGCTGCTAGCGGAACGCCAAGCAGCTTCCGCCATAACCTGGTTCTGTTGAACCATTCAATAAAACATCTTTCGAAGAGAATGATTCTTTTATTTCAAACTCTTCAATACTGCACATACATTAAATTAAACCAGATGTTGCCAATAAACTTGTAAAAATTGATTTTTTAAATATTTAACACAAAATTATCAAGTTACCTGTATTTGAATTACGTGGCGAACCAGTAGAAATTTACATTATACCTTTTTTGCATTAAAAATGTTAAACTATCTATGATGTATATAGTATATGATTATGTGTTGTTGTCGTCGAACGCTCGGGTCGACTCTCGTAGCTGCTCGCTGAGTCGTCCGCCCGTACTTGCGTTGCTACGAATTGCCGAGGCCTCGTCGTACTTTCTTCCGCTACGGAAAAACTACTTGCAAAATTATCTTTCAAAATTACAAGCTTGCTTAGTTCTATTTAATTCACATACTTGGTAAATTCATCCTTGTGAATTACATTTTCGGTCTGTGCCACCTAGCGGCGACACATGTACTACTTCACATACATCCGTGAACATAAAATTGATATTGATAAAATAAAAACATTATCTGGATTTGGATGATAAATTTATGTTTTAGTTTCGTATTCAATAAAAAAGGTGATATATCACAGTCTATATTGATTATCAAATCAACGTATGCTTACATTTGTACTTTCATTTGCTGGTTTCGCGTCTTTCATTCACTGCATCGAATATTTCATTCACTGGTAAAGAACTTTTTTTTTCATTTCCATGAACTTTTATAAATGAAAAACTTAATTGAAAATTTTGTAAAAATTCTAATAGGTAGAGGAAGGTATGACAAACTATTGGTTCGATTACCTGAAATCGACTAAAAACATGCATCCGAGCTGCTTGAAAGCAGAATTTTTCTAAACCTTTCAATCACTGGACGAGTGACTCTATATATAACACGTGCCCATTGAAAACTATGTCCAATGAACATTTTGAAGCATTTTGAAAATACAGAAACAGTTTTCGTATAAAATAAAATAAGTTTAAAAAAATTAAAAATGTTGAATTTGTTATTTATAATATAAATTACACGTCTGTTTTTTTAAGTTTACCTTTGAGCATTTTTCGCACATATTGTATACAATTTTTAGGCGATAAATGTCCCGCTTTTGTGCTCCATATGGGCAAAACCACTTTATGGACACTCGTTGTACAGATGTAGATTGTAGATTATACGAAAAAAATTGTTTCAAAGCAAACTTAATAATGAAAACATTACTAAATTTTCTCAATCAATACACGTTTTTTGGTACAAATTTACTATTTTTTAACGTAAATTGTTATTTTACGCAATTTTAAATACCATCAATGGAAAGAGTACCTCAAAAAAACCATAAAGTATAGTGGTTTTCATAATTTTTTTTGTGTCTATTGAAACATGATAAGAGTGCAAAGTTGAATATCAAAATCGAGTGCTCCCAGTATTAATTGGTTGAATAACTGGAGTGACCCGACACTTTCAAATTTTTTGGCTATCGTTAAACCACAATGAGGAACCGAAGCCTTTGATAAATTTTTTTGGGCTGATTAATACAGGTATGTATGAAAATTGGCATATTATTTTTGTTAAAAAATTTAACCATCTCTTTGATATAAATAATTAAGTCGCGCAGTGCTTATTAAGTTCACAGAATTATAATGCATGGATTTTCTCTTACTCGTGATATTTATTATCTCGCTTCAAAGAATCGGCGGTAACACGATTTTTTCGTAGGAAGTCTTACATCAAGTATATATATATGTAACATCACATTTGCAGTATGTACGTGTGTGTGTACTCGTGTGCGAGTGGTATAGGCACGACATAAACACAATGTGATCTGATAGCGAGAATTTCCTCCACGGAATATAATAGGCTACATAAAGGTCTATGTATTGCTATATTAAAATAAAAGAAAGTGAAAAGAAATCGAGGTTGAATATCTTTTTTAATAATAATACATAGAAGAATACTTACTTGAATGCAATATTTTATTAAATATAAGCTATGAGAATCCACCACTTCAGACAGCGTGATAATTAAATTTTTATGAAATCATGAGGATTTTGAAGGAATGAAAAACTACTTGTATTATTGAAACGAATAATTTATTGATCTAACTGACCAAACAAACAAATTTACACGTGGCGCATTTTTTAAGTGTATGGAAATTACTCCTTAATCATAATAATGTGTAAATCAAAGCTCAAGCTTTGCTCTATAATAAGTAAGTTGTCATTTTTTAACTTCATATTGATTATGTTACATGATTTCAATATCATACAAATTTGCGTAAATATTCCATATTTAATATATTTCATAACGAACTAGCATTATTCACCTTGATTTACGAAAAATACTCGAAGTTCATTGTAGAAAATATCTCGTTTACCCAATATAATTTATTCCAATACATTTATTTGAACCTGATTAATCGCATTTACAATATCATTTGACAATTTTTCGTTTGGTCGAATATTCATGTTAAATTTGTAATCAATACTCTACAGTACGAGACAATTCTAGAATAAATTTTTCTATTGTCTGGAAAGTTAATTTTATCTCATTTATATACTCATACATCAAAGGTAAAATTAATTTAATTTAAATAGAAAATTTAATGCATGTGAAAAAAAAACATGATGATTCGAATTCTTGAAAAACAAAACTAAAAAACTCTCTTCAAGACAATTACTGCATTGCTACAGGATAAAAGTGTCTAGTTTAAGAGTGAAGGTAGTTGATGTTTGTATACATCGTTCAAAATGTATCGCGTAATGTTTAACTCGACTACAACAAGTTGAGAATTCAACATAGTATAATTTTTTTTCTTTATAAATAGAATACATAAAACCGTAGACTCGTAAACGGAAGCTCGAAAATATTATAATTGAAACAGGAGATGAAAAATAGAAATTTCCAATTTTATTGAAACACATTTAATCAATTCCCACACTTAAAGTTACGAATATAACATTAATTTTTCGTAAATAAAAGTCGTACAATATTTCTTACATTTATTTGATGCACAAATAAAACTCAATAGCGCAAAAATCCATGCCATTCGTAGCTCGAGATACCTCGGTTAAAAGAACGTTAAGCTGTTTCTCTCTCTCTCTTTCTCTCGCACTCGTTACACCTCATTCAATATATAATTCATATGCCGTTGTTAATTGTTTAATAAATAGTGCGAATGTATGTACTATTAACGTATTATTGTGTAATGCATGATCAGCCGGTGAATGTGCAGCCTGGTTGTACGGACGGACTGACGCAGCGAAGCTGATCGTCGGCGGCGGCGGCGGCGGCGGGCACCGAAGTCGTCGACTCCGCGTCCTAAGAGAGCATCTTGTCCTCGGGTATGGTGGGACTGGTGACCGACGGGGCGGCCGAGGTGCGCCTCGACGCGCCGGCCTCCCTCAGCGCCTCGTCGAAGCTCTGCGTCGAGTTGCTGCGAGACGGCGTCATGCGACCCTGCTTGCGTGCGCAGCGTAAAAAAAATAATGAACAACACGTTGTTTACGACATCGATTGATTTTTCCATTGTATAACATGGAATTTCATCGCATTTAATCGAGCAATTATCGAATGAAGGTTATTTATATGAAAATATTTATAGGGTATGGGTTCGTACAACCCCAATGTTTTCAACCTCGAATTTTCTATCTGCACGAACCATATTTCCGAACTGTTCAATTTCTCGTCCAGTCGTACATATAATGAGTGACATCGTAGGCCGAAGTAAGACAGAATTCGAGAAAAATAATAGGCACTCGGATTACACGAACCCTTCGACACGGGTGAAAGAGGATCTAATTTATACGCTTTTAAAAATGTCACGATATCGTGGAAGCTTCTCTCGTTTAAGTTTATCACGACTTTTGTAAATAGACCGGTCAGAAGTAACGCTGTCGCGATGAAAGATCGTATTTTTATTTTATTTTTTGGCGAATAATTGATTAAAATTCGCTGCAGCGCGCGTTTGCGAAACCGTGTTCGTGCACGACGAGAGGCAACGACAAAAAAAATCACCTTGGAAAACAATCGAACCTACATCTGCGAATTCGCGTGCGCGCAATGCGCTCCTAATTTTCTTCGCATTGCGGTCGCATTTGCCGAACCTCAAGAATTAAGCTTTTCGATATAATTACGATATTAATTAACGTTGCTTCGTTTCTCATGCCATCCGAGGACGAGGCGCAATGCAAGCCGAGCGCATTTATGTACGAGTACGAGCTGCTGCTGCTGTTTCTGCCTCGGCTAAATGGTGTCGCTATTAACGACCAAGAAATATATACACATGTATATGTAAGCAACGCATTTTTCTCATAATCGTCGATCCAACGCATGATTTCGACTAATGTATATGAACTCGAGCTGGCCATCGGCGCGCGAGCTCGAGACTCTTTCGTCGCTCGGGGCGACAAAAGACGAAGACGACGATGACCGCGACGAAAAAAGAGTAATTGCCGCAGAGCTGCAGCAGCAGCAGCAACAGCGCACACAAGGAAGAATTATAATGAAAGAATATAAGGATGGAAAAGAGGGAAAAAACATACCTTCACATTCTCGTAAGCGCTGCCGACTTTTTCCTCGAGGGACCTAAAACTGTCGGAATTTCTCATCTGACCGATTTTCATGGAAAGTCCACTGCCAAAACCGCCCAGGATGCTCGTCGTCTTTTCTGCCGTCGACTTCAATACCGATTCCGTCTTTTGGAACCTGTCGGGACATAAAGCGGGCCAAATAGCCAAACGCGTGGCCGTGTAATTGACGCCGTTACAAACTCCTCGCGCTTTTCGACTTAACACAAAGTATCTCTCTCAAGTATTATGATTACTGCAGTCGATCGCGGGCCTTTTTTTCAAGGCTACACCTGCCTTCATTGCCTCGAGATCGATATCGTGATGCGTTTATGTCTTCATGTATCGACCCGTGCATCTCTTCCGCCGTATTTCAAAAGCGAACAAGAGCAAGGGTGATAATGACAGCTTATTATACATAAAAAATACTGCTTACGTTAAAAATTCATCAGTAAGCCGTGCACGTCTTAATGCTTTTACAAAGTAAACATCAGCTTATTTTCGGCAGAGCATAATACTTTTGTAATTTTTTAATAATAACCTCAGAGGCAATGCTTAAAAATGTAATACTTTTGAGTGGAGTTAGTTTCATTTCATGCGATGTAAAAGATGCACATGTTAATACCGCAAAAATATGGACTAATATTTACCCTTACCACTGAATAAAAAACACTGAAAACACTCGAGAACACCAGGGCATTCGTTACGTTGTATCAATATGGTAGGAAATATTGATTCATAACATTCGTGCATGATTTTTGCGAGTAGTTTGAAGCACGTGTCAAATGTTAACAAGATCGTCACGTTGTTAGTTTATGTCGAACGTATGAATGGGTTAATCGTCGCAAATTTTTTCACCGAACTTGAATTTAGTATGATACTCACAAAGTATTTTCAGAGACCGTCCTTTTGATAGAACCAAGTGTATCACCAATATTCTGGTAACTGAATAATAAAAACCCAGCAAAAATGAGAAAAAAAAGCAATGAACAAAAAATTGCAACGTGTGTTTGTAAAAAAAACAAGAGAAAGTCGACTCGAGAGTACTGTAACGAAATTTCAGTTGTAACAATTATTTCTAGAACGAAAATAAATTGACGGGTATACACGAATTTCATGAATACGTTCTCTTTTTCTTTCAAAAATTGTTCGAGTAACTTCAACTTTGTAACGTGTAGGCTTTTCTCGATAATATTTTCGCTTGCACTTTTTATGTACCCATTAGCGTCACTTTTCACCACATTAATATAATCGATAAGTCTTTGTGCGACCCACAACCGCAGTAGCATAATTTTTTGAGATTAAATCGATCGCTTAACTATACATCGATCGTCTAAGCAGCGGTGAGATCAAATTTGATTAAAAAAAAAAAACTACCGTGGTAACAATGATTCTAAGCGTGAAAGCAACTTACACATTGGTCTCCTTGACGTTTTTAAGTCCCTGGCTGACGTCGCTGCTCAATTCTTTCCACACGCTAATGCCGAGTTTGCGCTTGAGATCGTGGGCCGTTCGCACCTTGCTCGCCAATACCTCCCTGAGAGTCTGAATCTCATCCTCGATCTGGAAATTCGAATTTACCGGTTTAATTGGGCATCCACCGGCGAAGGAGAGCCTATGCATGTATGCATGTACACACGGGTATATGTATGTACGTACGCAGACGCCGAAGAGACAACGACACACCGGGCGAACGTTTACACGGGCGAACTCTCGCGGCTGCAGAAACACGTTTTTGCGCTATAACGAATGACGTTTCGGGGGCTTTTCATTTCTTTTCGCGCACAGGTTAGGCGGCTGCCGCAACTGCAACTTTTGCCCGCGCTCATGGGCGAGCCTGCGAGCAACGCAGTACATAACGAGTCGCGTCGCGAGGAGGCAAGAAAGAGAATAAGAAAGAGAGAGAGAGAGAGAGAGAGAGAGAAAAAAAATCGAGTAACGAGAAAGAAATGAGAGGACACTCCGATGGTAATTTGTGTTACAAGGTTTACCCGAACATTGCCAAGTCGGTCGCGCGCGCGCGGTCCTTTTGGAAGTCCGCGCCGAGCTAATAAGTAGCTTACCCCGAGACGCTTATGACTTTTTCATTGAAAAATTTCAAAGGGACTCTCTCGCGCGCGAGGCAAAAAGAAAGCCGCTCACGGGGACTCGAGAGAAAGATCGTGAATTACGATTGTGCGCGGCGATCATTATAATTACATTAAATATGTATTCGCGCTGAGCTGCCTCGAATCGATGCGATACAAAGTATATACAATAAGCCGAAAATCAACATTTTCCAGCGGGCTGGTGATTAAAAAACGCTATATATACGCTGCGCGGGCTTGTGATTAAAAAACGCTATATATACGCTGCAGCACAAAAGTGCGCCTCGAAGGACGGCTCTCTTTACTTACCCTGGCAAGCTCGGCGCTCCACTCGGCCTTTTGACGCTCCTGCTCCTCTATCGAGAGGCTGTGAAATTCATTGGCCACGCTGTCGAGGGACGGTGACAGCGAGCCGCTCCTGTGCAGAACGGCGTCCTCGCCTGAAACAAGCGAACGAAAAAAAATTGTCAAATTTTCTCGATGCCGCCATACACCTTGATAAATAAATATAAATAAGCGAATAGAAGAATTAAAGGAGCAACGGATTTCGCTCGTTCAATTTGTCATTAAAAAAAATGCGCGTATCTCGCAATAAAATGCACTATCGCGCGTGTGCGTAATAACTTCTCCGACGCAGTAAAAGAGTCGTTCGAATGAATTCCTTGCAAATCATTTTGAGCCGCGTCTTTCGGCCTCGGTGCATGTGTGTGTGTTTTATTTAAGCGCGCGCAAGGTTTTTTGTCATAAAAAGTGCGTTTGCAAGCGGCGATGCGAGTAAATCCGAATGAATTACGATTGCCACCGGTGAGAGAGCTTTTTCATAAAGATCATTTAACTCGACGAACGATTAGCTTGTTAAACGCTCTCGCGTGATATATTTTGCATGTTGCACGTGCATATTGCGCTCGCGCGCACCGGAGCCGGGGAGAAAGTTTGATGTAAAAATTTTATTGCAATTCTATATATATATCTCGTGTATGTACGTTGAGAAAGCTACATTTTCGAGCAGTTTACATAAAAATTTCGCAGCCGAGTTAATAATTTACGACAAAGGCAGCTGACTTTACAAGCTTTTCAGGTCGGTGCCTCGTTTCCTGAAAAAACTACGCTGAGGATTTCATCGGACTCGGACTCGGACGAATTATTATTGCGAAAGAGACGATGCGTGGGCAGCTGTAAAGTTCGGAAGAGAAAATCAGCTGGCACCGGCAGATTTTCCACTTCGGAGACGTCATCGGCCGTTATCGAGCGCAGCCGAGCGCCATCTGTCGTCGATCACCCGAATCGGAGATCGCGCGACGCACTCGACTCGCTCGCTCGAGAAAATCATTGTATAATTATTATCGAAAAAAAAAATAGCTCTATCGCCGGCAAATCACCTCGGACGAGATTCAACAACTGTCGGGACTTTTCGCGGAGCTTCTGGCGCAGCTGCCTGAGCTCGCCCCGGGTGCCGCGCAGGTGTCCTTTGTCCTCGCGAAACTCGGCCTCGCGTATCTCCTCGAACTCGCCGGAGTCGTGGTGCCAGTGCACGAGTATCTCCTCGGAGTCGCTGGCCTCGAGATCGTCGAAGCTCGGCGTGGCCGTGAGGCCGCCGCTGTAGTAGTCGTCCTCCTCGTAATCCGGCCCGACGAACTCCTCGTCGGTGTTGGGCGTCGTCGTGCCGGCGACGTTGGACGCGGCCAACGACGATTTGTTGTCATTGCTGCTGTTGAGCTCGTGGCTGGTTTTCATGCTGCTGCTATTGCTGCTGTCGCGCTGTTCTTCGCGCATGACGAGGCTTCTAGGTCTGTTTATTATAGAGATATGTAGAGACGATGCGCGACGCGGCTCAACGAGCAACGCGTCCCCCTTCCTCTAGCTCTATATATTCTCTATTTATCCTTTTTTTTTTTGCTCGTCGGCTAGACGCAATTTTTTATAAGCAAAAATTTTCTTTGGAACGTGTAATGAGAATTTATTCTATAGGCAACGTTGTCTTATGCTCGACAACACAACGAGCAGTAGTAGTAGCTAACGATCGGGGACGATTGATGAGGATTAATGAACTTGCGAGCCAATTAGCATAATCGTCTGTTAATCGACAAAAGTAGACTTTGAGAAAGTAGCTGGAATATTTGCTGGAGGGTATACGCGCGCGTGGAATTGGCCACGTTAAAAGCAACTTATTGAACAAGTTTGTTGCTGCTTTGCCTCTTTTCTTTTCTTGCTTACGGCGACCAATTCGTAAATTGTCGTCGAAAAAGATCGAATTTCGTGGATCGTGTGCGCGAGTAAAAATCGCTGCTGCTGCAATGACTCGCAGTAAAGAGCGTCGTAAACAGAATGACACTCGCGCGTGCGCACGAAAATACACGCAAACACACGAGCACAGTAGTGACGTAAAAAGCACGAAAATCTGACGCGCACACGTGAAAGCCGAAGCCGCGACTGAATGCCGCTCGGGTTCGCACGCACGTGCGTAGAGTAGTGTGCCACAGGTGTCTATGAGTATAGCCGCTTGGCTGTGTCTCCGAGTGTGTACAAAGTCTAGCGTGTGTCTTGGGATGTTTTTAGGAAACGACACAGTCACACCGCAGCCCTGACAGACGTTTGTGGCGGGTGTCAAGGTGGAATTTAAAAATTGTGCTTTTTTGTTGTTGTTGTTTCTGTTAAATAGCCAGCTGCTCGCGCGCTGCAGCGTAAGATGACCCGGTTTTGCCGAGTTCACTGTCTCGCTATAGCCGGCGCGGCTTTCACAGAAGCATCGTCATAGGCATATATATATATTATGTTTATACGCGATGACGGCCTTTTCAACGGCTGCCGCGGCGGACAACAACGTGTCAGCGTCGTACACTACCGTGTCACGGCTCGTACATACAGTGCATTATATCACGGCGAAGGAAAGTATACGAAGACGCGAGCTTGATTGCGATAAGAGCGAGATAAGAACAATGCAGGTTTTCTGTTGTTGTTGCTGATGCTCTTTTGGAGTCGACTCTCACACGCGGCAGAGTGTGCGAGAGTGAGCGAGAGAGAGAAAGAGAGACTCCGTTATTGCGGAGAAAAAAAAAAGAAACAGCTCGAGCCTAGTCGACGAGTGTCTGCGGTCCGCCGCTGTCGGTATCTTCTTTCCTCGTCGCGGGGCCGTGTTTCATTCGATGCAAGTCAGCCGAGCGAGCAAGAGAGAGAGACAGAGATGCGTTGCCGAAAAAACCAGTCTCGACGCAGCGTGTATATACATGTAATGTACACACGTTAACGCACTCACACCGTCGCGGCACACCTGGTCTCACGTACGACGACGACGAGAGAAAGAAAGAGAAAGAGAAGCGAGACGAGTATATAGAAGCACACGAGGTGCAGCAGCGCCTCCACAAGTGTCTCGGCTATACAATACTACGTGCGTGTGTACAACAACTCCTCGCTCCGAAGGGAAGAAGATGCTCTCTCCTCGGCCGATCTATGGATGCACGAGAGGCTATAATATCGTAGAACACCGAGTCTCTCGCGGCACTGCACCGAATCACCGTGTCTGTACGTGTCGTTCACTCGCGGGGGCCTCGTCCCATCGGGCCTATAACTGTATAGCTCAGCTCGTCGATGATAGTCCGCACACACACCGCCGATGTCGAGCAGACGATCGCGCACTGTATTATATATAGCGTAATGACAGACACCCACGCACAAGCGCGCACACACACACTCACTCACTCACTGACAGTCGAGAGGCGCGCGAGACGATCCGTCCCACGTCCGACGATGCACTTGGACGACGACGACGACGACGACGACGAGTCGCACTCGAGTCTACCTGTGCTGCTCCGTATCTATCTGTGTATGTACGTGTGTTGTATATACGTAAAATCTCGATGATTAAGCGCGTCTGAGTAGCGAGCGCGCGGGCCAGCACATAGCGCGGCAGCTCTCGTCATGTATATACAAGCGGTATACAGAGAGTACGTATAGTGTATACTCCTGCTGCGATGCGGCAGGCGCGCAGGTATATAGGCACACGGCACACAGGTATAGGTATAGGTAAGGCCTTACTTCGCGGTTCCGGCTGACGATGGCGGCAGCGATCGGCCTCGCGACTCGTATTATAGATCTTCCTATGTACTTTGCTGCCTCCTCGTCTGCTTCTACTCTTCTCCTTCCAGCGCAGCTTTCTTCGCGAGCTGTGCTCTCTTTTACCCGTGTGCCGTATACTACGGTGTACGTCTCCCTCCTCTTCTAATTCTCAAAGCAAAGCAGTGCCGCTGCTGCTGCTGTCCAGGTGACGTCTCCAAACGTACGCACTACTTTTCGTCTATTGCTCTTTGCACACGTACACAAGTAACTCGACTACTGCTGGCAATGGCAGGTATATGCGCGTACCTGTGCTCGGCGGCCGGCGCTTCGGGCCTTATACGCGATGCACATTTCATGCGGCTGCAGCCAGCCGACTGCTTCGCTACATTTATTTTCCGCGTGTGCATCTATGCGCAGAGGGTCTACTCTCGCTCTACACGAACGCGATCGCCCTCCTCTCTCTCTCTCTCTCTTTCTCCCAGCGATCACCTGTTGAACGCGATCGAGCGTGTAGCAGTAGCGCATTCAGCGATACGAGCTTTGATTTTCTCTCTGCTTGCTCCGATGGTCCCAGCTGCGATACAATGGACTATGTATGCGCACAATTGTATGCATGTATAATCAACGGAGTTCCGCGAATACGATTCCGAGTCATTGCGTATACGTAAGATGCCCGAGTGCACGGCCACGGCATTTTCCCAAATTCCGCGTGACGTAGAGGCGGACCACTGTCCAGGCGTTTTCTAATCGGGACCCTGCCTGCATGAGTGTATCGACGCTTCGATAACGATCGTGCGAGACGACGGGGATATAGACGCATGTTTAATCGGTCACGCACGACTATCTATCGAAAACACGCGGCATATTTTATTTATAGAGAGAGAGAGAGAGATCGAGATTTACAGTCAGAAAGCTTAGTCACGAATCTCGAGCGCCCGAGGCGATAACAAAAAATTACAAACGGATGTCGATTCTTTTTTTTTGTGTATGTATGCGCGCAGTCTATACTGGTGCAGGAAACACAATTCAGCGCGCCGCGCTTATCATCCAACGAGCGAGCTGTGCGCGAAAAAAGCTCGTTACTCAGGGGCCAGCGCGGTGCATCTACACGCGTCATGGCGTAGGGGCGGAAAATTTTGGAATGAATATTACAATTTTTCATTATACATGAGTATGAGGATCTATTTAGTCAATTTTTTTTTTGTTTTACTTGAATTTGTTGACTGGCGAAAGATTTTTTGGAGTACTTGATTTTAGAAGACAAAAAAAATTTCCCAAAGAAATCGATGCTAAGTTAGAACTATTAACTGTTTCAAATACAATAGGAACAATATATAAACAAATAAATCGGTACGTTAATTGTAAACAATATGGTAATAATAGATTTTGACATCATCCTTCGATACACTGATCATGTTAATAGTAAAGACAAATTAGTTTCAATGTTGTCTTTCCCGTTGAAACAAGCCATAATACCAAAAGATACATTTTGCTCATTCAATTTCTTAAATAAAAGAATCCATCGTTTAATTTAAGTACCATCATGAACAAAAGTGAAAAGAAAAGCGAGGAAATCGTTCGAAAAGTTAACTCAAGCGAACTCGACATTGCTATTTCAGACAACAATCAACACGTTTATGATTTTTGTCAGGAGACATTTACACTAGAGCCAAGCATGATAATACACCGAGACGCAACTCACAATGGACAAATAGGTTTCCCATGTGACCAGTGTAAGAAGAAATTTATGAAAAGATCGATTTTGTTTGCGCACCAAAAATTAGTACACAAAGATCGAGAAGATTTTACATTTGACAAGTTCGCGAGAAAATTCGAAAATAAATCAACTTTACTTGACCACAACAAAATATTTCACGAAGTTTTTAAAAACTACTCATGTGAAAAATGCTCCAAGAGATTTGGAAATAAACATAGATTGCTCCTGCACATAAAAATGGTTCACGACCGATGCAAAGATTTTGCATGTGACAAGTGTGAACAGATATTTGGGAATAAATCTCATTTGCTCTTTCACCTGATGACAGTTCACGAAGATCAAAAAGTTTTCGCCTTTAAAGTAAACAAAGATTACTTGTGTGACGATTGCGGGAAAAAATTCGGAAAAAAATCTGATTTGCTCATTCACCTGAAGACAGTCCACGAAAGTCATGAAGATTACGTATGCGACAAGTGCGAAAAGAAGTTTGGACTGAAATTCAATTTGCTCAAACACCAAAGGACAGTGCACGAAGGTCGGAAAGATTATGCATGTGACAAATGCAAGAAGAAATTTGGACAAAAACCACATTTGCTTCTTCACATAACAACAGTCCACGAAGGCCGCAAAGATCACGCATGCGACAAGTGCCAGAAGAAATTTGGGTTTTTAAGCAATTTAAAAAAACATCAAAAGACAGCCCACGAGGGTCGCAAAGATTTCGCATGCAAAAATTGCGAGAAAAAATTTGGACAAAAAAACGATTTGTTCCGGCACCAAAAAACAGTCCATGAAGGTTGGAAAGATTTTGCTTGCAACATGTGCGAGAAAAAATTTGGGGTTTTAAGCAATTTAACAAAACATCAAAAGACAGTTCACGAAGGTCGTAAAGATTATGCATGCGATGTGTGTGAAAAGAAATTTGGGAAGAAATGGAGTTTGCTTGTTCACCAAAGGACAGTGCATGATGGTCGCAAAGATTTTGCATGTAATAAGTGTGACAAGAAATTTGGACTTAAAACTAATTTGTTCTTGCACTTGAAGACAGTACACGAAGGTCGCAAAGATTTCGCATGTGATAAGTGCGAGAAAAAATTTACACAAAAACAACATTGGCTCGCTCATCAAAGGACAGTACACGAAGGTCGTAAAGATTTTGAATGCGATATGTGCGAGAGGAAATTCGGACAAAAATCAGATTTGTTGAAGCACCAAAGAACAGTCCACGAAGGTCGCAAAGATTACGCATGCGATGTGTGTGAAAAGAAATTTGGGAAGAAATGGAGTTTGCTTGTTCACCAAAGGACAGTGCATAAAGGTCTGAAAGATTTCGCATGCGACAAATGCGAGAAAAAATTTGGGGTTTTAAGCAATTTAACAAAACATCAAAAGATAGTCCATGAAGGTCGCAAAGATTTTACATGCAACAATTGCGAGAAGAAATTTGGAGAAAGGTGGCTTATGATTCAGCACCAAAATTCAGTACACGAAGGTCGCAATGATTACCTATTCGACAAGTGCAAAAAAAAATTTAAACAATCATCGAGCTTGTTAGTGCACCAAAGGACTGTACACGGTGGTCGCCAAGATTACCGATGCGACGAATGCGAGAAAAAATTTGGACAAAAAAAGCATCTCTTCATCCATAAAAAAACAGTCCATGAGGGTCGCAAAGATTACGCATGCGACAAGTGTGAAAAAAAATTTGGACAAAAACCGACATTGAACAAACATCAAAAGCTAGTCCACGAAGGTCGTAAAGATTTCGCATGTGATAAGTGCGAGAAAAAATTTACACAAAAACAACATTGGCTCGCTCATCAAAGGACAGTACACGAAGGTCGTAAAGATTTTGAATGCGATATGTGCGAGAGGAAATTCGGACAAAAATCAGATTTGTTGAAGCACCAAAGAACAGTCCACGAAGGTCGCAAAGATTACGCATGCAACTATTGCGAGCAGAAATTTGGAGAAAAATCGAAATTGATTAGGCACCAAAGGACAGTACACGAAGCTCACGAAGTTTAGGTCCATAACATATGTTAGAATAAATAATGATTGACTATTGTAAAAATATGTACAGATATTTTTATGTTTCTCTAGAATTTTAATAAAACTTGTGCCAAATGTGTGTGTAAAATGATTGAGTCTTACCTAAAATTAATTATCATAACCCTTTTTTTACTGGTGTTGTGATATTTTATTTTTGAAATAAATTTCGCAATTACTATAATCGTTGCCTTTTTTGGCTACTTGGTTCCTGCAGCTATTTACGCAACGGTTAGATCGTACGACAGTTTTTTTACGTCTTATTTGTAGCTGCCAAAGGGACTAACTTTTAGTTGGCTACTGGATTTTCGATAAACCTCATGATGCAAGTGTAAATCGATCATATACCAGTGAAAGATTTTAATAAATTTGCTGACGAACCGATTATTTGTGCCAAGAAAGACGTGATCGATCGAAGTTTTTATCGAGAAAATCAAAACGGAAAACCTTTAATAATTTAGTAATAATCAAATGTGTTTTCTACATTTTTTAAAAATTAGTAACAGGCCTCATAATTGTTGTATCATTTTCTTAGTATTTGTATAAATGAAAAATCTTATATTGAAACTCTTCGAATCGCGTGAGGGGCAAACGAAAGTTTGCGTAGAGCGTCGTTTTTTCTAATCCGTCACTGCACGCGTGGATGTAATTGGCGACTGACAATTAATCAAGAGTAGTCCATGGGATAAGCCTATGGTGTCACACTAACGTACTGCATATACCGGACTTTGTGGAATTTTCAAAACGGTCCGTTCCCATGCTCCAGCGCTGCTTGAAAATATTTGTACATAAGGCTATTATTGTTTACACGTACACTCGAACTCGTAATTGTACGCAAACGTATGCATCTGTGTGTCCGCGTGAACGAGTGTTTGTGTGTGCACAGGTACCACATAGGTAAGATAAGCGATGGAAAAGCGAAAAACCGTTAGGTATATAGCGCGGTTCGATTTGCGAGCTCGATGTGCGCACAGAACGGCGGAGGACTAGAGAGCTGCCGCGTATATATATTATATAAAACGTTTGTTGGATTTATGCCCGCGCATTGTATCGCTGAAAAGTCAACGATCCACTTGTGCAGCATGTACATTCAAAAACGTCGAGATTCGTTTGAAAAGAA